CAAGAAGCCGTGCGCACACGCTAGTCAAGCTACAAAAGTAACTCCCATGGACTGACATTTTGAGCCCTGAGGACGTCAGCAGGTGGCTGACGAAAGCTAGGCGTTTTAATTGGTTTTATTAGTAATTTTAGTAATTTTAACATTAAACCAAATTTTCTATCATATTCCCTGGTGCTCGTGTTTTTTCACTGTTTTAATATGGAATCACCCAGGGATCACATTTTTAAAGAAATTTTCGATACATTTATTTATTTATTTATTTATTTATTTATTTATTTATTTATTTATTTATTTATTTATTTATTTATTTATTTATTTATTTATTTATTTATTTATTTATTTTTGAAAAGGGAATAAATTTAGGCAACCCTTGGGCCTGCCCCCTAGACTAAGAAACAGCTAGCTTTTTCTCTGATCATTTAATTAATTATATTCTTCTTATTCTTCCCTTACCTCAGAACGGAATGCTTATCACCCATTCAAATCTGTCTCTTAAGAAAGCTGTCAGGAATATCACATTATCTATAATGTGGGTTCCTGTACATTTCCAAATTCCAGGATATGTTTTACAGATGGAGTGGGGAATATTTAAAGGAATAGATGTATGTATGTATGTAAATCATGTAATAGATTTATGAGTAAAACATAAAGTTCCAATGTGATAGGAAGATGAGTGTGCTATTAAGTCATTCTGAGCACTTGGCAATAACAATGTCTAGCAACACTTTCCCAAAAGTAAAAATGTTACAGTAATTTTAATTTTATTCCCTCATCTTAAATGCATTTTAAGATATTGTCACACATTATCAGGATGGAAACAGAGAGAAAGAAGAATTTGTCAAGCTTTCCTCAAACTAGTTCTACCTCTATCACAGAAGGCAAGATGGCAACTGAACTCCAAAGTTCGCCCTTTAAAAAAAAAAAGAAAAAAGGTAGGTATGGTAATGTATCCAGCAACATGAACTGATCATGCCTGGCCAGGATGAGCTAGGAGGTATTTAACTGGGTTTCATAATACAACATGAGGGTTTTCAGGTTATTTTCTTCTCAGAAAATAATGTCCTTTATTTCACAATGCAGTACTGGGAGAGTTAAAAGCAAAGCTCATTGTTCCTGCCCTGCCCCAAGTATGAATAGCTCAATGGTACTAAGACACAGCTACAGCTGAGAAATGTAATAACTACCAAGCATTGCTCAGATAGGCACAAACTGTGCCCCCCCCCCCAATTCAGCTCCTATAATCCCTTCAAATGTCATTGTGAGTGTATCAAGCAGGGAACTTATTAAACTTTAGATGGAATAATCACATAAATTGCATTTAGGACTTTTAATATTAATTCAGTTAACCACTTTTTTGGGGTGAAACTTTCGAAACATCACTGAAAAAATCAAACAGTGCATACCTCTGGTCTAGATGTACATACATTGTTAGTAATGGTTAAGGTGCTGGCCTAGAAACCAGGAGGCTGTGAGTTCTAGTACCGCCTTAGACATGAAAGCCAGCGGGGTGATTTTGAGCCAGTCACTCGCTCTCTGTCCAACCCACCCCAGAGGGTTGTTAGTTGTGGGGAAAATTGGAGTGAAAGAATATTAATTATGTTCGCTGCCTTGAGAAAGGAAGGAAGGAAGGAAGGAAGGAAGGAAGGAAGGAAGGAAGGAAGGAAGGAAGGAAGGAAGGAAGGAAGGAAGGAAGGACTTTTCACAATTTTCTTTTTTGGCTCTATCAGAGATGAGTACCTCAACAAAGGACAAGATATTGATGCTTTGTTGCTGAAGCAGACCCTTTCTTTCCAGTATTTTTGTTTTATACAGACAGTTCTGGCAGCATTTGCTAATCCATCTTATCAAAATAATTGCTTAGTTAAGATATGGGGAAATTTAAACCCTGTATATGCACACTAATCACACATACCATGTTCCAGCCATGCTTAATGGAATTTACGGTTTGCAAATCCTGAATTGGCAGAATAGTTTATAGCTCCTCACAGTTAATTTTTTAAGGACTTTTTTTTTCAGAATATTTTTAATGGGTTTGTTTGTTTTTTAATGTACAGAAGGGGACAGGGCAGGAAAGATTTAAAAAATAAACAAATAAAAATTCTCACCATAACATAAAAGGCAGTGACCACCTTTAGCGAGGAGGCAAAAATGGAGCTCATGATTTTAACTGATGGCTCATCCAGACTATCATAAGTCGGAAAGACCTGGCTGCAAGACACAATCAAACATTGGTTAGAAAATGTTATCAGGAAGAGAAATATTCAATCCAGTGTACAGTTGCCACTATAAAGGTAATCCCAGCATATCCCCACAAGACTCCTGTCACGCTACGGTGGTTTATATTGCCAATGCCAAGAGATTTTAAACATTCCCAAGTTTTAAGTGTTACACAAATACGCCTGCTCTCCTCCTCTATGCCACTGCCACGTGTACAATGTAAATATTTCACATTTCGAAAAAAAGAAGGGGGGAAAAAAATGACGCTGCAACTGGAATGACCACTTGTTTGAGTCAAACAACGGTGGCAGAGCTCCAGAAAGCACTCTGGAGATTATTGCTCTTGGAGCATCCTGGGTTGATAATTAAAGCAATACGGTGTTTACAGAATAAGAAGCAGGGAAGGAGCGAAAGCATCGGATTGTCAAAGAGAAAAGTTAAACAACCAAAACTAAACACTGTGCCTGTCATATTTCAGCACTAATGCTTGAGCCCAAGCTCCCAGAAAACTGAAGGAGCCAATTACACGGGGTTTGGGTGCTTATATAAGCTTGTTCCCAACATCAGGTATATAATTTACTACAGCAGTTTGGAGGTTGCATAGATCTAATTCAGAGTCTGGCAAGGTTTGAATGGTCGGGGGCAGCACAATTTTTTTTTAAAAAAAAATCCAGTAATGTCTAAGTATCATCCCTGGAAGGGGTGTGGCTAAAATTGTTTTGGCCATTTTTGGCTTTGTGGGAAGGTTAAGGATAGAAATGGGAGGGGAAGTTTCCCAGAAGTAAACTACTCCCAGACCAACTCGTAAAACAACATCAAATCCCCCCAATAAATATGTTCCAGCTTTTTTTAAAGAGGATTTTAGACGTAGGGGTGGAAACGGGAGCCTATAAAACACAAACCGTTCTTATTCCCACCTTTAAAACTACCCCAGATCAAATTATGAACTGGGGGGTAGGGGATATAATTTAAAACCTGACTATAGACCAGGGCTTTTTAACCTTTTCACCCATTGTACCACTTTTAGGATATGGCAACATCCGAGTACCACCAGTCGCCTAGCAAGGTGTCAAAAACTTGATGACCAAAAAAAAAAAGGAAAAAAATGATAAAGTACAGGTAGTCCTCGACTTACAACAGTTCGCTTAATGACTGTTCGAAGTTACAATGGCACTGAAAAAAGTGCCCCCCAAGCCACAGCCGAGCAAGACACCTGCCTGCCCGCCCGGTCGCGCTCTTCCTCCTGTCCGAGGTTTTCATTGTTGTGAGCATTTCTGTTGGGGATTGGCAGCGGAGGTGGGGTGGGGGGTGTTTGGTTTTTATTCCCCCCGTCTGCTGGGTGGTTGCAGCAGGTTTTGGTCACTTCATATGACCCTGGGACACTGTGACCGTCATAAATATGAATCAGTTGCCAAGCATCTGAATGTAAATCACAAGACCCTGGAGATGCTGCAACATTCCAGCTGATCGGCGCTTCTTCTGGGCTCAGCAGAAGCGCCAGGATCAGCACCGAGCTCCAGCTGGAGCCTGGCGCTGATCCTGGCGTTTCCGCTGAGCCCTGACAGCCCTGCAGCTCCAGCCGTCTCTCGCTCAGGCTTGTGCGGTGCTGCCACCGGTTCAGCTCATTCCCCTCCCCCACTACCACTTTTCTAGGATGGTCGCGTACCACCTGTCAGGTGACAATGTACCACAGGTGGTACCCGTACCACTGGTTGAAAAGCCCTGCTATAGACCTCTCTTTCTAAGCATTCCCCTATAAAAGGCAGCCTGAACCTTGAGACAGTTTGGGCTAGCGGTTAAGACACCAGGCTAGAAAGTGGGAGACTGTAAGTTCAAGCCCCACTTTGGCTAGGAAAGGCAGATGGGTGACCTTGGGCCAGTCACTCTCTCTCTCCCTCAGCCCAGCTAAGCTAACCTCACAGGTTTACTGGAGAAAATAGGGTGAGGAGAAAGGAATGTTGGATATGGGCTCCAAGATGCCCCCTTGAATCATTTGTAAATGTAATAAAGGGGGGGGGGAAATCTATAAATAAAATCAATCCAGCTGGGTTGTTCTTTTTTTTTTTTTCAATATAAAATTTTTATTTTTATCATAAAAGAAAAGAAATACATCACAAATATTTCACAATATTATATCCCATCCCCCCACCCCCCGGACTTCCCAAACCAACCTAGGCTGATATTCAAATACAAGTAAACAAATATTAATATCTCTAACTCCAAAGTCTAAACTTAAACAATCCATCTCCTC